GGGGGGTTACCCCAGCCCTAGTGGGGTTATCCCAGCTCTGGGGGGGTTACCCCAGCCCAGGGGGGTCTCTCACTGTCCCCACGCCCCTCCACGCAGACCCCATGCCCCGCGACCACGAGAGGAACTACGGCTTCACGCAGTTCGCGCTGGAGCTGAACGAGCTGACGCCGGAGCTGCGCCGCGTCCTGCCCTCCACGGACACGCGGCTGCGGCCGGACCAGCGGTCAGCGGCACCCCGGGGTGCGGCCGGGCCGGGCTGAGGCCGGCCAGGCTCTCACGGCCCTGTCCGGTGTCCCCCAGGTACCTGGAGGAGGGGAACGTGCCGGCGGCCGAGGCGCAGAAGCGCCAGATCGAGCAGCTGCAGCGGGACCGGCGCCGCGTCATGGAGGAGAACAACATCGCCCACCAGGCTCGCTTCTTCAGGTTGGGGGGACCCGCGGAGTGGGGGGATGAGGGGTTCTTGTGGGGTGGGGAGACCTTCTGGGGGTGCTGAGGGCACCACTTGGCTCGGGGGACGTGGGGCTCTCGGGGGGATGTGGGGCTCTTATGGGGTGGGGAGACCCTTCCCAGGAGTCTTGAGAGCACCCCATGGCTTAGGGGGGTGGGGGGCTGTCAGGAAAGGGGAAAACCCCTGTGGGTGCCACCCTGAGGACACCCCATGGCTCAGGAGGGTGGGGGGCTGTCAGGGGGCTGTGGGGCTGTCAGGAAAGGGGAAAACCCCTGTGGGTGCCACCCTGAGGACACCCCATGGCTCAAGGGGGTGGGGGGCTGTCAGGGAATAGGGGAACCCCCCCATGGGAGTCCTGAGGGCACCCCATGGCTCAGGGGGGTGTGGGAAATCAAGGGAATGGTGAGACCCTCCAGAGACCTCGTGGTTCAGAGGAGCGTGGGGCTCTCAGGGAATGGGAAACCCCCCCCTCGGAATTCCCGACCGTGCCCACCCCGTGCCCAGGCGTGTGACGGATGCCAGTGGCAAGGAGTCGTGGGTGACCAACAACACCTACTGGAAGCTGCGCCTGGACCCCGGCTTCTCGCACCTGGACAGCGCAGTGCTCTGGTAGCCACCCCCAAACTGGGGGTGCTGAGCCCCCCCAGCTCCTCACAGCAGTGCCCAGCATGGGGCTGGTCCCCCCAGCACTGGGGGTGCAGAATCCCCCCCTCCTCTTTCCGAGCCATTTTGCCGCTGTTTCGGTAAAACTGTGATGCAAAAATGGGAGGGGGGCACTGGCAATGCCTCCCCCCGGCCCAGGGCAGAGCCTTGGGCACAGCTGAGGCACTTTGGGGCAGGGGCTGGCAGTGCCCCCCTGCCCTGGGGGCACAGGATGATAATGGGGGG